TTTGCCCATTGAGTATGATGTTGGCTGTGGGTTTGTCATATATGGCTTTTATTATGTTGAAGTATGATCTTTCTATTCCCACCTTGTTGAGAGTTTTTATCAAGAAAGGGTGTTGGATTTTGTCAAATGCTCCTTCTGCATCAATTGATATGACTATGTGATTTTTATCTCTCAATTTGTTTATGTGATTTATCACATTTATTGATTTGCAGCTGAATCCTGCCTCTTTCAATTAGTCATGTGACACTGGGTGAATAATTTAATTATTTTAAACCTATTTCCTCTTCAGTAAAACAGGAATTATAAAAGTGACCCGTCATACTGCCTGACACATAATAGGCATTCGATAAATATTTTGGTATGAGAGATGATTCTTAGAGGTGAAGTAACTTGTCCAAGATTACACAGATAGAACCCCAAATTCTAGCATATCACAATTGTTTTACTATTTCTTAGTTCTTTGGAAATATATATTATTAATGGTTCTTGTGGCACATCTCTATAACTCAAGAATATTTGCCCCTGTCCTGACAGAGATCACTATACTAACACAGAACTTTGTTTCCTTGTGAATACAGCAGCATTTCTAAATTATGATTTTTGAAGTACTTCTTACATCAATCTGCCTCGTTTGAGGACACTGAGATCCAGAAAGTGAAACATTTCTTCTAGATCTTACTGAGCTGTGCTATGTGGTGAAAGAACCTTTTAAACAAATATCCCTCGGAAACAAAATCCTGAAGTGAATGCCCTGGATACTAAATTAAAGTTGTATGGTATATGTCAGGGGTCCTCCCATTTTACAGTTGTCACACAGAAATTTCTTTCCCCTTCATTTTAGTTCACATACTCCTCTAATTCCCACAAACACTTCTCATTTTAAAGCTTAGTTCAGTACCAGTTATTCTGAAATTTTGCTTAATGTGGTCTGGCAGATTGAAAAAATGAATTGTAATACAAGAGAAATAGGAGACATCTTAATGGAGTGGAATAAAAACTAGAAGACATGTATGTCCTTGGGCACCCCCCCCCCCCCCCCCCCCCCCTGATTGTACCAGTAGAGAGAGCTGGGCTACAGGGTCTCTAAGATCCCTAGCATTTCTAGCATTCTATGCTTCTAACCCCCCTTCCTGTCTTCTCTCACACTGACATATTAGAATATAAAGGTGTGTGTGTGGTGGGGTGGGAGGAGATAATTTGTAGAAGTGGGGGAAAATTGCAGGCAGGCAGTTCATCCAGTAGAGTGTGCACGATGTGGGAAGAGGGGGCAGGATAACTTGCTAATAGAATAAAATATTTACTATGCTAAGGATAGGGTCCAAACAAGCCTGCATCATTAATACCTTTGAGGCTCAACCTCCACCATGTATTGTTGAAAACCTACCAAGAGCTGGAAATGCACCAACAAGACCTCAGATGATTATATTAACCATGTTTCTTTTCTCTGAAGTTCGGTTTTGGTTTCATTGAAATGTATTCAGGAAGCTAGACACAGGCTCCCATCTGCTTTGCTACTGGCATGTGGGGACAAGCAGCTACAGAAAAAAAAATTACTATTTCACTCTTTTCTTCTATTAGTTTTCATAGTTTTTGTCACAAGATTTGACTCTTGATAAAAACCACAGCTCAAAAAGTATGCTATATGTGTTTTACTAGAGTCAATATAAACTCCTAGTCACTATACTAGTAAACTTCATCCAGACCAGACAATTTAAATATTGGCCTAATTTGGACTTTAAAGTTATGAACAATAGAAAGGGAAGTTACCAATTATTTGCTTAAAAGTTGACTACAAAAGGTGATTTATATTTACCTTAATGTTTTGTCATGCATATAACCCGATCAGGCAACCAAAATGAGTCATGTTTTTTTCATTTTCAGCCGAGTTCCAGGGGCAGTTAAGAAACCCAGGTCTGGAAGTGCCTCTGGGCAAAGATAAAGGTTACAGCTTGTGGAAGTGGTAATTAGAGCCAATTACAACTTGACTTATCTGCTTTGCCATTAAAATGCCTGTCAGACTTCTCATTTTCTAAACAGGGGGTGTGGGGGGGGGGGTTGGTATAGCTTAGTGGAGGGAGAGAGTTAGCCAAAGGAGAAGGATTTCTAATTCTGCTCACAAACTGAGTGTGTAACCTTAGACAAACACTCTGCCTTTTGTCCTTTGCTCACAGTCAACTCTAACTCTTGGAGCTGAAAGGGACCACAGGAAATCACCTGGTCTAGTCTTTTGACTTTAAGAAATTAAGGCATTATTATAGTCCCATTTTCCAAATGAGATATGAGCAATTCAAGTTAACTAGAATGTCTTCTGTCTCCTAAGAGCAATAGATTTTTATTTTGGTCCTTTAGCTTAACTGTCATGAAGAGAATGTAATTATTCGCCTCATTCTTCTCACACAGGTGTTGTATACAGGTTAATACAAGACTGTAAAGCACATTGAAAACACCAAGGGAAGCTTATAAATAAAACATTACCAACAGAGATACCAGAGATTGGAATAGGTGGGTCTCAAAGAAAAGTAACAGGTGTGGATTTAGCCCTTTAAAGAATTAGCTTGAGGAAAGAAATAGAATTACATTCAACCTAGTGAAAAGGACCAAACTCACTTGCTGCAAATATGTGAGTGTAATAGAGTAGGTGAAATTTTCCTTGTAAAATAAAAAATCCTGAACAAAGTGGACTCCTTGGGGGAAGGGTAAAAGGAAATAACGGGTTTTTCTTACAACTTAAGAATCCTATACAACCTCTAATGATTTTTTTTGCCTTTTGTCCTTAAAATGATCTGTAGTCAGTCACTGAATGCCTGGACTCATTATCATCCTGTCTCTAATCTGTCTTCACTTTGCATTCTAAACCATTCAAATTACCCCTGCCCAAATCACAATCTTTACCAGCTACTTTGAACACATCAACCCCCTCACAAATCCTTATCCCCCGTATTGAATTACTCATTCATGATTTCAAGGCTGTCCATCAACCTACCCCAATCTAGTCTCTTTCCTGATCCTTCTCTACCTGTATTCCTTTTCTTTCAACACTACACTTTCTCTTCATATACCTGAAACAAATCCCATTCTTGCATCTGATAAGTCATCTCTTCACCTTTCTTGAAAATCAAACTGTATTTGATGTGAGGGGCTGAGTCTACTTAATAGGTAGAAGCCTAATGGTAGTCATCGAATATGATCAGCAAAGGGAGATTAGAGCTTCCCTCTTCCTTACATGTTTCTATCTGGGATGAGCAAGGACAGGATGGTCTGGAGCAGAATGTGGAGAAGTGCTCCTGGGTAGAGATTGCTTGGAATATGTGCTAGTTCTAAGTATTAGAGGGTCTGCAGTATTTTAGGATTTGTCTCACCTTTTCATTCAATTAACACTTTATCTTTAATAAAAGCCCCAATTCATATGCTGTCGACCTTTGTGAACATGTGTAGCGGTCACTATCAGAAATAGATACGTAGAGTGAGGGAAGGAAGGGTGATTCCCTTAGTTAGCCAAGTAGGCACAATGGTGTCAGGAAGGTTATTCCAAAAAGAGGTGGCAATATTACATTGTACAGTATTACTCAGAGGAGTAAAACTCTTAGATGAGGGTGGGAGGGGCCATTCTATTATTAGATCCAACGTGAGTGATATGGGCAGAATCTGGTTACCTGGCAGATATTGAGATTAGAAACAATATGTATTTTGGATTTTAAAATTTTATTCACCTCAATATAACAGCATATATAAAATGTTGCACAGACAAAAAGCATTTCTAAAACCTGGTCACTCCTTTGGGATTGGCACAGAATACAGTTTTGAGAAAAAAAAAATTCAATGGTAGAATTTTCCTCTCTAAGGTCAGATTTGATTTGGAGATAGTCAAGTCACTTGAGAGTAAGTCTGGTGAAATAAGGTGGGTAAAAATCTGAACATAAATTTTAGTGAAATACAGATGTAAAAGGATAACCTCTCTTCCTCTTAGAGTAAGTATCTGTCAGCTTCACAACACGCCACCCTCAAAAGAAACAATGATTACTAAGATAATTGTTTTTAAAGTTTTGTTTGGGGCACAGAAATATGTATCTGATTTTATGGTACTAAAGCAAGAACAGGCATAGCTAGGGAAGACTACAACACATTCAGCTTCTTTGGAGGCCAGGTAATAAGGTTTTCCATTAACCTCCTATGGCTTCAGGATAGTAAGCAGCTTTTGTACAGATGTGGATCGGTAGTCCTGTTTGGCTTAAATGAGTGATGCAGTTCTTGGGAAGCAGAAAGTGGTGCTGGATTACACAAAGACAATCAAAACTAACACAAACACACATAGGCTTCCTGGTATGTAAATTATTTTTGAGGTTAAAGATCTCCTTTTACAGAATTTAGTATATAACAAATTTAAAAACCAAACTTCTTGACCTCCCAACATTAAATAACTAAATGTGCAAAAGAACCACCATTAAATATGGCATAAAAAGCTATACATTTTCTATGAAACAATATATGCACAGATTTTCAAAGCTGTGAAAATGCAATAAAGAGCACAACACATTTTGGTCACTTTATTAAATGACATTAAATAGTTTAAGTTTCAACTACTAAACAGCACTTTGAATGGTGAAAACACAGATAGTATTATTGTCATACTGAATGCTTTTCTTTAAAAACACAATTCCAGTCCTTATATATATTACAAAACAGCCTCAAAGGAAGAAGTGACATCTTTTCTACAGTACTTAAGGTACTCAATACAGAACTGAAAAGCAGTCTAACAGAAACAAAGGCAAGTCTTCACAGCTGTATGATTTCAGCAGCCAAAGCTGGATGATGACTGAAACATTACTATACAACTGGGACAAAACATATACAATATCACAATACTAAGCAAAAATGCTTTACACCCAAAGAAATAAAACAGGTTACAAAATGTGGAGAATTTAGCAGGCAAAACTGTATTACAAGCAACATTTTAAATCGTCATTTTTAAGCCATTGCAACTATTTAAAACATCTAAAACAAATATAAAACTGAGCCTTTTAGTATCTTATTGACGTGATTTTTGTCTTTAAATATTTGTTAAAGCTTGATTTTATACTCAAAGTACATATTATGTAGCTAAAATGTCAAGTGAGAATAGTGTATGCAAAGTGGTCCAAGTTTTATTTCAAACTCTCTTATTTCCAATTAATTAATCCTTCTATGCATTACTTTTAAGTCATAGTTTCATCGTGGTAAAACAGTTTAGAAGGTTGCTTAAAATTTTCACATCTATGTCTTTGAGCAGGTAATTAGACCATGTTGAAAGTTCCCAGGTCTAATAAATCAGATATAAAGTATCCTGGACTTGTAGAAATACCGACTGAGAACAGTTGTCCAGAGTATACTGTCTTCAAATATTTACCTCATAAATCTTGACTTTTTCAGTTCTCCTAAACACACATCTCCCCGCCCCCCAATTAAATAAATTTGATTATATGGCTGGTATAATATCCAAATATATGGAAGTTGTTAGTGATAATTTATCATGGGAGGTAGGAGGGGGTAGATCCTACAAATCTTATAAGTTTCATTATCACAAACCTAGTGCTCTTGGATGTTTTATCACTAGTTCTTTCAAGATAAAAATGGAAATCTCATAACCATCCAAACATCTCAAAAGAGTTTTAGCTAATGTTAAACTCATTCTAATCCAGTGATACCTGGAACAAGTCAATCTTCCATTCAACTTTCTTTTTTCTAGAATTCCTTAGCTGTTTCCACTTCCTGTTATATCATCATCTCAAAACTGTTTTTGTCATGTTAAGTTGACTCCCATAGTCTAACAATCTTTTAAGAAACTCAAGCAACCAAATTGTACATGAATAAACTTATAGGTTATTTTTACAGGTCTGGATAAAGAAAAACAACAATGTAATGATTTTCTAGTAAAACTTCACAAAGGGGTATTACATGAATTAATTTGGATCAATAATTGCCTCAAGGACCTAAACTTAAAAAAAAATCGAACTTAGGCATAATTTAAGAAAACAGGGAAGTTGGGGGAAAAGAACATGATGAGAGAAAAGAAGATGAGCATAGAAGCCAGTGATCCTTATCTTTAAAAGTAATTAATTCACAATACTGACAGTACTGGGAATTGTTAAAGCACATTCCTCATGTGAACTTAAAGTCAGCAATGGTTCTGCCATTTTGATGCTGTTTATAAAACAGGGTGTGAACTTAACAACCACAATGTCATCCTTAACCTCCTAAAATGCTAGAACTTGATTTTGTTAGCCACATCCCACTGCCAGCAATAGGATGAAGCACTAGCACTGGCACCAAGCAGTTAAGAGATGTGCTTTTTATTAGTGCCAGGAGAGAGAAAATTCATGTGTGGAAGATAATCGACAACCCTGAAATTTTACCAGTAATTATTTCAGTACATATAACTGAAAATAAAAAATGGCAGAAAGTCTCAAGAAGAAAAAGGAATTCTCTTCTTAGGCTGTACTTAAGGCTGTTTATACAATACTAAGATAACTGCAAGATTCCTCCAAGTTTTAGAGCAGTAGTATTTAAGAATATTGCACACAATTCTGTGTCAAAGATAACCCTTAGTTTCTAATTTTCAGTCACAGACATGACCTAGCAAGAGCCCAGTTTCAGACTTCAGTCAAAAGAACATTAAAACCATTTCAATTACTTTAATCAATAAATTGATTAAGTACAAAATTATTTTATAACTTGAGGAATCAACTCTAAGAACTCAGCTGTGTGTTTTTATATGTAAAGAATGAATATATAAATCTGTATTATTTCCTAAATTCATTAATTTCATGACAATTTTATGGTCACTAAAAGCAGGCATAAAAATTTAGAGAGGAAATCTGTGGAGGTGTTACTGTTATGGAACGACTTGTTTTCACTGAAAACAATTTGAAATATCTTCTGTACTCAATGTGTATAAGAAGATTCTAGGCAACATCACTGACAAATGTCAGGAAGAAATGGTATGCCCTATTTTAAAAAAATTTTAAACTAATATGGAAGATTGGCATTTAAGGGGACCAAACTATTTTTACAGTTGAGTTCTGTTAAGTCATTGATTCCTAAAAAAATAAAAGATCTTTCTATGATTTTAACAATCCTTTAAGCTTTTAGTGCAAAATCACATTGATTTCCCTTGGGAAGGTCCTGGATTTTTGCTTCTCATTGGGGGTGGTGCACGCTGTAATGGTGGTGGCTGCATACCACCAGCCATTGACTGATACATTCCTCTCATATCAATCTGCTGGTAGTTAGAAGGATTCATGATTAAATTTGGAGGCTTTGGCATCATGAGGTGACCTAGTGTTGCTTGTTGATAAGTCATTTGTTGCTGTTGCTGCTGATTGTACTGCTGCTGGAGTCTTCGGTTCATAAGTATTCGCTGAACACAGCTGATTAACTAAAGAGAGAAAAGGGAGCTGTTACAAGTGCATGACCTGTTTCAAAGATGTAAGTATCAAGTTTTGGGCTAAAATCAATTTGTTAGGGGGTACCATACCAAAAAGAAAACACATTATTGTTATCACCATTACTAATTTGATGGCATTCACAGGACCATTACTGTAGAAACCAGTTAGTAACACCATTTAGGGCTAAATTCTCCTAATGACTTAACTATTGTATTGCAAGCAGCATTTAGGTTAGTTACCATAGTAACCTGTCTTGCACTGTGATTAGTCTCAAGTATTAGTTACAGCACTTTTTGTCAAGTCTCCTTTCTTTGTCATTCTTTTGAATATTTCACATTATAACATATAAATAAACATTTTTAGTGACAGACACCAAAGGGAAAAAGTGCTCACAGTAGGAATAATTCCTACCTGGAATGTCTGAAATTTCCTAACAGAATTTAAAACTTTACAATGTTTTCTAAGTAAAATTCATGCCACAGAAATTGATTCTCTGGTATCAAGAGTTGAAATTTCCCAGTGCAAGGCAGGTGGCAAGCAAAGGACTGCTGGGAAAGATGATCAAGGATCTTAGGATCTGCATTCTTTTTTTTTTAAGCAACATTTTACTTTTGTTATGATAAAATAATGCTATAGAAATTCCTTTTTAAGATCCAGGATACATAAAAATTAAAATTATATGGATGACAGCATATATAAACTTCAAGGGAACTCATTAGGGAAGATACTGCTCCTTTGTAACAAAAGATATTGCCTTTTCTTGACATTACTAGGTTTTTTTGACAAAATTTCTTCTAGAAATAACCATGTCCATCCGTCCATGTGAGAGATAGTTATTGACATACACATCACACAAATGCCTTATCCTATCTCTTAAAGAGGAAATACGCTAACTGACCCTCAAGCCATTGCAAAGATGGCGGTGCCCACAGCCAATAAGGAGGGAATATGCTAATTGACTGCCCCACCCTCAAAGATGGCAGCGCCCACAGCCCCAAGATGGTGGAGCCCAGTCTCCTCAGCCCCCCAGCCACCCAGGGCTGGCCCAAGGCACAGGCAAGCCTCAGCTGTCGGCTGCCCAGCTGCCTAGGACCAGCCCGAGGCGCAGGCAAGCCTCAGATGGCAGCTGCCCAGCTGCCCAGGGCTGCCAGAGGCTCAGGTAACCAGGGCTGGCCAAGGCTTGTACTGCCAGCAGTGGCAGCAGCAGAGATGTGATGGGGGAGTTGCCTTCCCCTGATCGCTGGGTCATCTCCTGCCCCTGCGGGCTCCCGGACTGTGAGAGGGGGCAGGCTGGGCTGAGGGACACCCCCTCCAGTGCATGAATTTTCATGCACTGGGCCTCTAGTTATAAATAAAAGAAAATTAAACCTAACCAGAATACTCAGAATTCTTACCATCTGTTGTTTTGTCAATACATCATTGTAGATTGCTTCTCTTCGTTTAACATCAAGCTCCTGGCTGGCTTGTCTACTCAATGCTAACGCCTGTACTTGGGCCTCTGAGAGATTCATGTTTTCCTTCCACTGAAAAAAAAAGTTTCTATTTAGTCCTATTGCAGTAGAACCAAGGAAAAATAATTAGACTACTTGAAGATATTCAGGGTCTTTCAAGCTTTCTTCCCTCCTTTCCTTTCCTTTATTCAGCTTAGAAGAAAACAACATGGCCAAGTGCCCCAAAACTGGTACATAAAGGAATAGTATGCAGCTACAAAAAAAAAGAAGGTTCTCTTACCCTTTGAGAGAGCATGGAGGGACCTGGAGATTAATATTCTAAGTGAAATAAGCCAGTCAGAGAAAGACAAGTATTACATGATGTAACTTTATATGTGGAATCTAATGAACACAATAAACTGATGAATAAAACAAAACTAGAGACATGGAAACAAGGAACAGACTGACGAATCTTAGAGGGAAGGGGGAGTGGGAAGAGATTAACCAAAGAACTTATATGCATATATGCTTGCCCATGAACATAGACAATCAGTAGTGAAGGCCTAGGGCAGGGTGAAAACTGGGCGGTGGGAGGCAAAGGGGGGAAAAAAAGTGGAGGCATCTGTAATACTATCATCAACACATTTTTAAAAAAAGCAGGGTACTAAGTTTTCCACTGTTGTATAAGGGTTGGCTATCTCTGCAATAAAGCTGTATTTAATTTGTGAAGCTGGTCATAAAAATATGTTTATGTAAACAATGCATACATTTCTGTGATTGATTGACTTCCTAATTTTTAGATTTCAGCCACTTCTCTTTTGTGCCAACATCTAGGTAAAACTGATAAATTATACTCGTGCCTTGTCACTATTATCCACTTTACTAGTGTTTTACTATTGCAAATCAAGTTATAAGAATTATGCTCCTTTCCCCACAGAAATAGTGAAACAAACAATTAAAAATTAAAACAAATGGTGGGGGAAAGAACACAAATTTCAAGTTGGAGTAAGACAATTGCCAATTAACTTACCACAGCTGAAATTATATCTTCAAGTGGCTGAATCCTCACTGCTGCCATACTGTTTGTTGCTTCCACAACTTTTTCTCTTCCTTGATTTATGAGGTCCTAGAAGAATGTAAGAAATAAGTTATATAGAGCTTATAAAAGATAGTTTTAAAGTATAGAATTGCCAATTTATAGAATTGAAAAGAACAGCAAACTTCAGCATCAATAAAGTGGAATAAAACTCATCAGTGAGGGTCTTGTTAGGAAGATAAAAGTTTGGGTTTTATTGAACCAATAATTTAATAATTTAAATGACTCCATAAGCACATTTTAAAAAGGAAACCAGAGATTCCATTAAGTTATTAAATTATTGGTATAATAAAATCTAATCTTTCTTAGTTACTTCATAATTGATTCTGGTTTTAAGTCAATTATTTCATAATACTGGGCATTATCATATACTTAGTGTTGCATCTACATGGCATTAGGCTGCAGGGGTGGGCAAACTTTTTGACTCGAGGGCCACAATGGGTTCTTAAACTGGACCAGAGGGCCAGAACAAAAGCATGGATGGAGTGTTTGTGTGAACTAATATAAATTCAAAGTAAACATCATTACATAAAAGGGTACGGTCTTTTTTTTCAATAGTTTTATTCATTTAAAACGGGCCGGATTCGGCCCGCGGGCCATAGTTTGCCCACGGCTGCATTAGAGTGTAAGTCAATGTGTGCATTTATCCTACTTTCAAACATTAAACAAGTAATTTGTTTATTCAAAATATTTTATAACTGAAGAAAGTGCTATTTCCTTACTCAGTCATCTGCCCTATTGTTTCTTAAATAAAGTAATTCAAACTACATTAAATCAGGGCCTGATTCCCTTGTGCTCTAAACCACATTTTACTACATACATGCTGGGTCAAAAAGATCAACAAATAAAAATTTTTTGGTCTATTCAGAAGTAATCTTTTGGAGAATGTGATATTCCTGCATAAGGAACTCTCAACAACAGGGCACTTGAAATTGCTTTTAATTCAAGTTAAACTACTTTTGTACTTCACAACTTACCTCCAGCTGTTGATTACTCATTGCTGACAGGGCTCCCAAATTGAAAGGAATATAAGGAGTTTGAGAGTTGAAACTGACAGGGGGAAAATTGGTCCCAGTTGGTATGTTGAAACGCATGGTCAGTCCCTAAAAACAAAAAATTATGCGCTTATCCACACTGTGATTTAAAACTTGAAATTCTACATCACCTACTGGTTTAGAATAGAATCCATATTCTCAGATTTAGGAAATTATTAACACCCTTACACACACAAACAAAACACCCTTTTTACCCAAAACCAAGATCTTATTACACAGAAAGCTTTAACCCCTAAAGGTGTACCCTTTTTCTGATAATTCCCACAGAATGGAGCAACTCATAATTCTGATGAGACTCCTAACATCACATTAACATTAAAGAAGTTTGGTACAATGAGTTTAGGAGTTTAAAAAGAATTCATGTATTAGGATAAGGTTTCCCATGCTCAGGCACATTTTTGCTCAAGTGGGTTGGTGAAACTATTTTAAATGAAGTTGCTGCTGGAGAATGACGTTAATGTCCAATCATAAAATATTTTTGTGTTCTGATACACATTCAATCAAAATTTAGATTTCATAGCACACATGCTAAAACAATGTTTATTCTTTCCTACCTCCAAACTCTAAGCTTCTGTATGTCTGTTACTACAGTGAGGGTGTTGATTGGAGTTAAGTGATGCTAAATATATACCTTTCACTAATCGCTCAATTCAGCAAGTGCTAAGCAGAAATGGGGTTACTACTCTTTAAGTGGAAAATATTTCCTTCTCTCCTCTCTTCCCACTCTACCACCAAAGGTAGCCAAAGCCTGTAAAAAGACTCTGATATCTGGGGACTTCGTTCCTGAAGACTCACCTATTCCAAAAGTGGCCTTTTCTTCCTCAATGCTCTTTCAAATTACTAACATCAAAACAACAACCAAAAAGCATTTCAAATGATCTACCTTCTTCTCTGCTTCATACTCAGCCCAAGCTGCTTTTCTTTCTTCTTCAGTCAGCTCTTCTTCTTCTTTGTGGTCCAAAAGAGAATCATGCTCATGATATCCTACAATGTGTTCTTTATGTATCTGAAGAAGTTCTGCAAGTATGGTGTCCTGTTTAAAGGGGTTGAAATAACAGAATTATTTCCTCCCTCTGGATCGATCGTATTTGGTGTACTGTTAGACTAGAAACTAGAACATGGCTGTTATACATATTTTTGATATATATGATAAATTACCTAGAAAACAGTTGCTAAACATGCAACACCAGCCTCTTATGTAAGAATTTCACATTTATATGACATATTTTAGGGAGTTGATTTTTTAATGACTAATTTTCAGAGGTCAATGGTTTTTCTCCAATTTTTAATTTTTATTTATTTTTATTTTTAGAAAGAGAGGAACAGAGAGGGAGAGAAACACCAATAAGAGAGAGAAACATCATCTATCTGTTGCCTCCTGCATGTCCCCTACTGGGGATTGAGCCAGTAATCTGGGCACATGCCTTGACAGGGAATTGAACTAGTGACCTCTTGGAACATGGGACAGTGCTCAACCAACTGGGCCACACTGGCCAGGGCACTTTTTCCCTAATTTTTTCACACATATTTTGTGCTTTGTTCTAAGTTCATAATAAATGCTAACACAAGTCTTACTAAATCAGAAATTATATTGGGTGCTTGTGTTAAAATTCATGGCTACTCCTATTTATACATTATTTAACAACTGTATTTTCACAATCACTTTAGCTATCAGCCACTATGCTAACCAAAACCAACTCTAAATTAAACAGCTACAAAACAGTTTAACTGGAACATATAGTCCTTATATTTCAATTGTAGGAAAGTAAAATATAAATTGCACTGTTAAGGACACACTGATATACATTGTTTATCAACTTATTATAATAGTGCCTTTTTTCAAAGTCACAGTGTTTCTTAAGTCAGTCTTTTAAAGTTAAAAAAATTAAAAGCTTAAAAATTGAGATCATTTTTATGTATTCAACGAGAACACCAAACTTGTGCTCTGTGTAATTATGATTATGAGAGAGACACACACAAAGAGATTGGGTAGAGGGGAATATGTTACTTGCTAATAACAATTTAATATTCACAAGTTGTTTATTAAGAAATCACAGATAAAAACTTGAATATATAAAAGGCAAATCAATTCATTTCACAAAATGATTTTCCACAGTTTCTAATGCAAGTTCCCTTAGAACATGCTTTCTAAATTGTGAATTTAGTGAAGGAACATAAATAGTTACTGTCAAAGGAAGGTATAGGGAGGTTTATGGCAAATTAAATTTAATTTGTATCTAGTAATCCTTAATGTCCCCATAAAGTTTAGCATAGACAAAGCCCAAACTTGTAAATAATTTTATGTTCATATCTTTAACCACACCTAGAGTATAGGGTCCAACACATGGCAGGAAATCAAATGTCTGTTAAATAACTCAAGATGAAAATTTTAAATCATAAGGCCCTAAGTTTTTTTCTGTACAACAGTAAATGCTGACACTAATTCCAAATATTCTGACATTTCATCTCATGTAAACAACTTTTTATCTTGCTACCCCAATAAGTACCTGAAATAACTACTTCATAATTTCATGAATGGATTCTCTTAATGGATACTGCTGATAATTTAGACTTTATAACTGAGTTTGCCATGTATGTGCTATTTCTTTTATTGAAAACAGAAAACATTAAAAGATGGTACAAATGAGAGAGCTCAAGAAAATCTACTGGTGGGATACATATATGTTAACAGGTTTAGTTCTTCTGAAATGTTAACTAAACCTTTCTATCCCATACCTGTGTAGAAATCTGCCATCAAAGCTGACTTCTCTGGCCTATACCATATAGAACAGGCTTTATCATCACTAGACAGACCTCCAAAGTTCAGAGTTACTGACCAGGAAAGCACAGAGATAGGCCGGTCTGAACTAAATTCTTTTAAAAAGTAATGCTTCTTTAGACATGTGTCTCCCATGCTCACTCCCCACGCATAACTCAAAAAAAAGGTATATAATAAAACCAGATAACATTGCCAAATACAATTAGTAAATCAGCTGTTCTACAAAATACCAAATAAATTACAAGGTAGAAATGTTCTACGAAAGTCCTTAATTTTACTTCTGTTTGGCAATGTGATGTTCTTAAACATAGTAAAAAATCATTTCTCTAAGAAAGCAACCTGAAGGAAAGACCAAGAGTACTGTGTGCTAGAAACTGAATTTATTTTCAGCTATGCTACTGATTCTCCCTGTAACACTGGATAGTAACTTAGTCTAGCTATGAATTGAAGTTAAATATGAAATACTCTCTGCTCACATGTGTAACAGAATGAGAATAGCAGAAATACTCATATATACCTTTTTAAAAAAGGACTAGCTGAGACTAGAAGCTAAGTTTCCTGACTCCTATCCAGTGATCATCTTACCTAACAAAAGACAAACATGTAAATTGGCCGTCGTTCCGTTGTGCTCACCAGCCAATCAGGAGAGTATGCCCACAGGGAGTCTGGATCCAAGCCCCACCCCCACATCAGCGGTGCTGAGCTGCTGGGGCCGGAGCCAGCGGGGAGACAAGCCCACAGGGGGTCTGGACCCTAGCCCCAGCCCTCCAGCAGCAGTGCTGGGATGCTGGGGCCGGAGCCAGTGGGGAGACAAGCCTGCAGGGGATCCATACACCAACCCCAGCCCCAGGGCCATGGCGCTGCGCTACTGGGACCAGAGCCAGCGGGGAGACAAACCCACAGAATATGGCCCTGATCCGGCCGGTCTCTATGACATCCACTGTAGCCAGCAAACCAGCCCGATCAGGGGGTGGGACCATCAGCCAACCTTGCAGCCCTTTCCGCCTGCCAGCCTGCCTTAGACTCTCCCATCCCCATCAAGAGCAGGCCGCACAGAGCCTGGACCGTTCCTGGCAGCCCCGAGTCCATGGGTTGAGAATTCTGATGGCCCTGCCCAGACAGTAGAGGTGCCTGACGGGCAGGGACAGGGACCACGGGCCTCCAGGGAGCACTGCAGAGTTGGCAAGGGGAGGAGAGGGCCTGCGAATGGGGAGGAGGTGAAGCCAGCGGACATCAGCCCAGGATCCAGCCCTTCTCCTCCAGAGGCAGCAGGACCTAAACCCAGAACCCCAGCCCGAATCAAAAGAGCCCTAGGGAGGCATCAAGAAACTCTATGCAAAGCTGTACATTGAGAACTAGAGACTTCGTGAGGACCTGACCCAGACGATGCTGCGACTGGCGCAGCTCAAGGTGGAGCTGGAGCACACCATGCAGAGGCAGGAGCGCTTTGAAGAGAGGCCGGTCCTCCGGGAGCTGGAGAGATTTGAGCTCAGGGCCCTGGAGTGTAAGGCTGCTGAGCTGGAAGAGGAGCTGAAGGGCCTGTCCAGCCTCCTAGCTGACAACCAGCACCTCAAGGAGGAGAACACGGCCCTGATCTGCGTCATCAGCAAACTGTCCAAGTGACCCCGGAGGACTTGCCCCTGCACCCGCATTTATACAGCTGTTTCTGCCACATGCACTCCTTCCCCTGTGTGAACATGAGTGACAGGGCTTCTGGGGAGTCTCTGAGAAGCCATAACCTTCCTTGAGATCTCCAGGTTGGGAGGGGAGGACAGAGCCCCCAGGATCCAAGGGGGCCATCTGAGGCCAGGATGGAGACGGGAGGCTGAGCCAGGTAGGGGGACCAGGGCTGCAGGCAGGACCAGGAAGGAACCGAGGACCAGGAAGTGCCAGGACCAGTAGCCAGGACCAGAGTGGCCACCCAGAGGTCCCCTTTCACGTGTGCTGCCACACCCCTCCAGCCCCTGAGCAGGGATCCAAGAATGTGCCAAGAATCCCACCAGCCTGGGCCAGATGGGCCTGTATATAGGGTCCGTGTGCAATAGGGAGGGACGTCTTCTATTTTTTGCTGCCCCCTCCCCAATGCTGTCCCGGGAAGGGGGAAAAGGTATTCTTGAGACAAAGCACAAGCACCACAAATAAAATTGTGAAGTTGCCAAAAAAACAGTAACAAAAAAAACAAAGAGCTGGCCCCACCACAATAGGCCCGCAGCCCCTCTCCGTGGCTGCCTGCCCCTGATCGCACCCCCCAACCCCAATAGGTGGCAGGGCCGGCCAGCCAATCACCTGCAGTCCCTCTCTCGCCTGGCCCCACCCCAGATCAGCATCTCCGCTGCCTCACATGGAGGAGGCAGGTTCCAGCAGAGAAGGCGGGTCGCGGCAGGGGAGGGCAGTTGTGGGGGATCAGGCAGCAGGCAGAAGCGGTTAGGGGCAGTCAGGCAGGCAGGCAGGTGAGCGGTTAGGAGCCAGTGGTCCTGAATTGTGAGAGGGATGTCCAACTGCTGGTGTGGGATCGGGCCTAAACCAGCAGTCTGACATCCCCCGAGGGGTCCATGATTGGAGAGGGTGCAGGCTGGGCAAAGGGACACCCCCCCTCCAGCATGAATTTCATGCACTGGGCCTCTAGTTCTAATATAAAACCGAAAGATAACTACTGGTAACATTTGTTGTATATTCCTCCACACATTTACAGTTACACACAAACACACACACTTTTGCATAAAAATGGGATTATACTTAACAGTTTAGAAATCTTTTCTGCCTTCATATCTTTCCATGGACATCATTTTACCTCAAATACGTCCTTCATCATTTTAAATATTATTAAAGACATTTAACAATAAAATATTATGTAGATATACTTTATCATCTACCTAATTTTTTTCTCTTATGAGTTTATTAGAACATTTAGGCCACTTTTATAAGTTACCAAATTTGCAATGAAACAGAGTAATGGATACATTTTAATGTATTTCAACCACTAGTTTGTACAATAATTATGCTGATAATTCTCTAGGACTTAGACAAGTACGTTTACCACAATCTTCATTTTTAACAAAGGAAAGACATTACATGGACATTAACTGACTTTCATAGGAACACAATTCATTTATATAGTTCAGAAGGAGGAAATCAGAAAGTTTTCTTTCCTTCAGAGTACTACATGAAGCACAAATAAGAGAAAGATACAGGATTTCTGAAACAAAGTCTTTCTTTTCCCTTTTAAATTAATTGCAGCATACTGTCAATACAAG